TTAACTCTTGTTTTTTTTCTTTTTCTTTGGGACTTTCCGTTTTATCAAGTTGATTTTAGGTTTGTGGGTCTTCAAACCCAAGAAAGACTCCAAACGAAACCAAGCTGCGAGTTACTTTAAACATACAAACACAAAGGCAGCCTCACGCCGGGGGCAAGAAAGGGGCCGAGACAAGAGAATTTGAACCCTCAGAGATGAGGGACCCACCACAAACCCTCTGTGAACACCGCCCTGGGATTTAGGACAAAATCAAAGACTAGGATAAACAAGAAAAAGTAAGACTTCTACCCCTCCTGCGCCTCTATCACCTGGAAACAAATTCTGTCTTGACCTCAGTGTGTGTCTCTCTCTCTTAGGCCCGCCCCAACCAGCCACACCTGCCTCTGTGTGTTCAGCTGTATCCGCCCTCAGGGCCTTTGCACTTGCTCCTCTGGGCTGCCTGGAACACTCTGCCCTGGGATGACTAGCCCAGGCATTGCTCCATTTTTACAAGCGTCACCTTCTGAGAGTGGTGGTGGTGTCATTGTTGAGCCAGCTCTAATTTGTGGCGACCCTAGACATAAACAACAAAACACTGTCTAGCCCTACCCCATCCTATCTCTGTTCTGCTCTAGTCTATCGTTCCAGGCCACTGTGTCTTTTGAGTGCCTCCATTCCAGGAATCTACTTCACTGGCTGATTAGCAGTCGGGAAATGAGGAGACACATTGTAGTGGAAAAATATCCAGTTAGGAAATCTCTTCAAATTATTGAGGAGTAATGATGTCAGCTTGAGGACTAAGGTGCATCTGGTTCAAGCCAGTCTTTCTGATCACTTGCTTTGCATCTGAGAGCTGGAATAAGGATGACAGAAGAAGAATTTACACCTTTGAGCTGTAGTGTTGGAGAACACTGAACATCCCATGGATGGGAGAGGGGAGGCAAGAATGATGAGGCTTTGCCTCACATATGTTGGGCATGTTGTTAGGAGGGGCTATTCCTTGGAGAAGGGCATGATGCTGGGAAGGGTGGAGGGTTGCTGAAGGAGAGGAAGACCCTGAACCAGGCAGACTGATGTGGTGACCACCACAATGGGCTTTTATGTGGCAGGAAGGGTGAGTATGGTACAGGATAGAACAGGGTTCAGATCTTTTGTTCAGAGGGCCACTATGAGTCATACGTGACTGACTCCACAGCACCTAACAAGAACAATTATCAAAAGTAGAATGCCTGGCTTTTCTTCTTAGTTTTAGTGTGGAAGCCCCACTGAAACCTGTCCACTGTGACCTTGCTGGTATTGGAAATAGCTTTTAGCAAGAAAACCTGGTGGTGCAATGGTTTCACACTTGACAGCTAACTGAAATGTTGGCAGTTCAAACCCACCCAGCAGGTCTATGGACGAAAGACCTGCTGATCAGCTCTTAGGATTGTTGTTGTTGTTGTTGCTGCTGTGTATCTTTGAGTTGGAACTGACTCCTAGCTGACCCTCCGGCAAGTTTGGAGAGGCAGTAAATCGCATGGGAGGAGACTGTCCACCCTTTTCCCCATACAGCAGCTAGTAGATTTGCTTAGAAAACCCTCTGAGGCAGTTTTACTGCCACACGGGATAAAGATAAGTTGAAATTGACAGAAGATAAATATCAACAGCTTCCAGCATCCCAGTAACATTCAAATAAAACATCACAGTACCACAAACTGTGGCGGCCTCCCAAATTAACTCTAAAACCCCTCCGCTTTTCCTCCTGAGCACCATTTATTCCCCTTCATGCCAGACTTGTGAGCTCCCCCCCTCAGATTGGGTCCTGAAGTCAGAGGTGGGTCCATGTGTCCCAGCTTTCAACTCACAGCAGGTGCTCAAGGTACAGTGAGTTCACTCACTCCAAGGGGTTTAGGCAGCACCCTCTTCCTTGCCCTGGAAAACACAACCACATCCTGAGGAGCTCCTGTCTGGGGGCACAGAACTGGACACAGCTGCTCCCAGCAACTTGGGGTCAAGGCCGGGGCAGATGGAGGGGTGGGGCTGGGTGGTTTGGAGGGCTGCAAAGCTGGGAGGAATAATTTTCCACTTTGAGGAGGAGGGGGTGGGGGAAAGATATCAAGGGCAGAGGAAACAGCAAGTGCACAAAGGGCCTCAGAGGGTGGGGTAGCCGAGGCTGCCAAGGGCAGATCCCCATACTCCCTGGCCAGAAATGGTCTTCCCTGCCCAGCCCTAAGGGTTACCCAAACTCTGGTCCAGGGAAAACGCCGCACACAAACAGGGAGGGGTGTTGCTGGCTCTAGAGGGAATCTTAGAGGAGTCTCAGAAGAAGTGGTCAGGGAAGGCTTCTTGGAAGAAGAGGCATTGGAGGTGGGATGAAGAATTTTCCAGGAGGTAAAGCAATGATGGAGGGAACTCCAAAGAACTGCAATTAAGTCTGGTCAAATAATGAGAAAGTAAAACGATGGCAGAAAACATTTATTGAGCCCTTAAAATTTCTTCAAATCTCTCCAAATAAAAAATTGCAGAACTCCACTTTCAGAAAGAAAAGAAAGCTCAAAGAAGGGAAGTGAGTGGCTTGAGGTCACCCAGTGAGACAGTGGCACAGATCTGAAGGTGGCGAGTTGTCCAAGCTATCTTGTCCTCCATAAACCTCAATTTCCAGGGCTGGTCTGCTCTCCCTGTCTGCCATTAATTTCAGGCTGGCACTGCCCGGGGCTTCCAAACTTGCCCCCACCTATCAAGGTCACAGCACGGCCTCTGAGGACTTGGCCTTTACTAGGCTGCCTGGTCCTACTCCCATCTGTGCCCTAGGGAGAAGCACAGCCCAAGGCCTCCAATCTGGTCCACAGCACGGCAATAAATTGAGGTCCACAGAAAGTCCCCTGAGAGGGTTGACTATAGGCTGGGGGCCACATCATCTCCCACTGGCTTCCTTTGTACATGTTGACACTCAACACCAGGAAGAAAGGTCTAGAGGGCTGGCAGATTCACAGATAGAAACCTGTATGCACTCATGGACGTAGGGACATGCAGCCATAAGAATCAGGCACCCTTCACATGGTCATATGCATGACAGGCAGACTCCCGCACACATACACAGATCTAGACACATGTGAACACATAGTCACACACACCCACAGACCCACAACACAGGTACATAAACCACAGACAGGTTACACAAAGGTATATGCACAGACCTAAGACATACAAATAAAGTCTCATCTGAAGACAAAACAGAGCCATATTCTAGGCCTTGAGAGGTCCGCTCCAGGCCTCTAGGCCTGCCTTCTTGTCCATCAACCCAGACTCTCCCCTGCCTGATCTTGCCCTAGATGGGGGTGGGGGGTGAAGATGGGGCAGCAAGGTGGGGGAGTAAGAGGAGGAGAACCTTACTTATATCCATGAGCCAAATATTCATCAGAGACCACCCACAGTGACTGACCTACACAGGCAGCATTCCAGTTCCATAAATGTTTACTGAGCTGTGTGCCAAGAGACCCACTGGCCTAAGATGGACGAGATTCCTATGCTCTGTGGGCTCATGAAACACCTCTTAATTTCTGATGATTCTTGAAAATTTGCTAGATAATGGAAGGGTACTTTCTGAGGCTCACACACACACACACACACACACACACACTCCTCAAGTAGGAGCAGGCACAGCATGTGCAAAGGACCTGAGGCAGGCAATAGTTAGGAGGTTGTGCTGGGAGGCTCTGGGTCTCAGAGGGAGAGAGGTCAGATAGGGGCTAGAGGGGAGAACTGGACTGTATGCAGAAGGTAGGAAAACTGAGATAGTCCCTCAGACCCAGATGTCAAGGGCTCCCCTGGGAATGTGGGGGAGGCGGCGTGATTCCCTCCCTGTCCAGTCTTAATGGCAGCCCATTAAGCCGTAACAGCCACAATAATAGTAATAAGCAGGTATAATTACCAGCTACAATTCCTGCCTCATCAGCCCAGGCCTGGGGCAGCAGGAGAAAGGAGGGGGCCCTTAGAAGGGAACCCATACCCTGGGACCCACAGCCCACTGGTAGATCCAAGATTATATTGTGAGTGGCTGAGGGGAGCAGCTGCCCTGGCGCCTTGACGCCTTAGGTTCTAATGGGCAGGACCCAGTCGTGGCCCTGTGGACTCCAAGCGTTCCCTTGGACAGGTCACCACGCCTTGCTGAGCCTCAGTTTCCCGTCAATGAAAGGAGGAAGTTGGCCTTACACTCCAAACCCCACCCAATAAAAAAGATCAGGATCAAGGAGTTTCCAGCAACTTTTAACTACCCTCCTCTTCCTCGTCCCCGTCCTCCAAACACACCCCAGAAACAGCAGCCGGACCCCACCCCTGGGGGACCTCCACACAGCCCCCGTGCGCACAAAGCCAGCCTAAAACGTGCGCTAATGGAGCCATTGTCGGCATAAAGTCTCGGGAGGCGCCGAGGAGTTAGAGGAGTTATTTAACCACTCGAGGCCCCATCCCCCTCTGGTCCCGCGGGGCTGGGCGCCACTCCCGCCCTCGCCTCCGCCCCCGTTGGCCTGGGCCCCACGCGCGGCCGGGGGCGGGGCTTCGCGGCGGGAAGGCCGGGCCGGACCCATCACACCACCCCGGACGTGCCTTGGCGAGAGGCGGTGCTGGTTGGTGGGGGGACCACGGCCGTAAATAGCGCTCCCAAGGCTGTCTCCCCTGGATGGGGACGCGGCCCGCCCCCATGACGTCAACCCAGAAGGCAGCGCGTTGTTGTGCAGTTTACCGCGCGTCGCCACGGCAACGGCAACCCAGCCAGCAGAGGTGGCCAGGCTACGCCCCCTTATGCAAATAAGAGACGTCACTCGCGCCCAATGGCGAGCGGGGGCGGTGAGCTCATCGCGCCAGGCCGAGGCTATAAGAGGGCGGCATAGGCGGCGCGGCGGCACTAGCCGCCGCCAGCGGGTTGCCGGGCGCAGCGGCACGGCCGGGGCGGGTGAAGGAGCAGCCTTAAAACGGGGGGGCGCAGGCCCCCCGGCGGCCGCGGCCACTCCCCTCCCCCGGGGCCGGCGCGGGGGAGGCGGAGGATGGAAACACCCTTCTACAGCGATGAGGCGCTGAGCGGCCTGGGCGGCGGCGCCAGCACCACCGGCGGCGGCAGTTTCGCGTCCCCGGGTCGCCTGTTTCCCGGGGCTCCCTCGACGACAACGGCGGCGGCAGGCAGCATGCTGAAGAAGGACGCGCTGACACTGAGCTTGAGCGAGCAGGTGGCGGCAGCGCTTAAACCCACTTCTGCGCCGCCCCCGGCCTCCCTACGCGCGGACGGAGCCCCGGGTGCGGCGCCCCCCGACGGCCTACTGGCCTCCCCGGACTTGGGGCTACTCAAGCTAGCTTCGCCCGAGCTTGAGCGCCTCATCATCCAATCCAACGGGCTGGTTACCACCACGCCGACCAGCACGCAGTTCCTCTACCCCAAGGTGGCGGCCAGCGAGGAGCAGGAGTTCGCGGAAGGCTTCGTCAAAGCGCTGGAGGACCTGCACAAGCAGAACCAGCTGGGCGCCAGCGCCGTGGCTGCGGCCGCAGCAGCCGGGGGCCCCTCGGGGGCAGCGGCAGCCTCGGCGCCCCCCGGAGAGCTGGCCCCGGCGGCGCCCGCCCCCGAGGCGCCCGTCTACGCGAACCTGAGCAGCTACGCGGGCAGTGCGGGCGCGGCTGGAGGCGCCGCCACAGTGGCCTTCGCCGGCGAGCCCGTGCCCTTTCCACCGCCGCCAGGCGCGCTGGGGCCGCCGCCGCGCCTGGCCGCGCTCAAGGACGAGCCGCAGACGGTGCCCGACGTGCCAAGTTTCGGCGAGAGTCCGCCGCTGTCGCCTATCGACATGGACACACAGGAGCGCATCAAGGCAGAACGTAAAAGGCTGCGAAATCGCATAGCCGCCTCCAAGTGCCGCAAGCGCAAGCTGGAGCGCATCTCGCGCCTCGAGGAGAAGGTGAAGACGCTCAAGAGCCAGAACACGGAGCTGGCGTCCACAGCCAGCCTGCTGCGCGAGCAGGTGGCGCAGCTCAAGCAGAAGGTCCTCAGCCACGTCAACAGTGGCTGCCAGCTGCTGTCCCAGCACCAGGTGTCCGCGTACTGAGCCCCCCCCCCCGGAGCGCATGCGCGGCCCCCCACCCCCGAGGGGCGGATCCGGGTGGGGGGGGCGTGGGCGCCCTGAACTCGGAGAGGGCGCCGGCCTTGGTGAGCCCCTGAGGGTGCACGATATTCGGAGGGGGCACCAGGAACTTGGAGAGGGCGCAGCCCACGGGACCTCCCGACCGTGCCCAGGACTTGGAGAGGGGGCGTCCTGGACTCGACAAGCTTTACCCCCCGCTCCCGGGGGGCGAGCGCATGACCCCCTGCCCTCGCGAAGCCTCTTTCCCGCGAGCGGCCGTCCCTTGTTGCACACGCCCGCGCGCCCAGCGCTTCTTTGTACACCGCTGTGGACGAGGGCTTCGCGGGGCCGCAGCCGCCACCCTTCGTTTCCTTTTCTTTTTACTTGTTTTTTGCTTTTGGAAGAGAGAAAAACAGAGTGTTCGATTCTGCCCTATTTATGTTTCTACTCGGGAACAAACGTTGGTTGTGTGCGTGCGTGTTTTCCTGTGTTGGTTTTTTAAAGAAATGGGAAGAAAAAAAAAAACAACATACCTCCCCATAATCTCTCCTCGCTCTCGCTTTTCACCCCCCTTCCATTCTCCTGACACCCTCCCCGTTTTTTGTTCTGTTTTGCTACGACTCCACATTCCTGTATGTAATCCTTGGTTCGCCCGGTTTTCTGTTTTCAGTAAAGTCTCATTACGCCAGCTCGGCTCTCCGCCTCCTCTTTCACTGGGGCTTGACGGGCGGGGCCTGGCCCGAACCCCAGGCTTTCCCTCCCGCGGCTGCCTGTCCACTCTCTTCTCTGTGCTCCTCCCTGTTGGAGGTGGGGAGGGCACATCTGGCGCTCAGCGAGCGCCATCTAGGCACTGAGACGCAGGTCGATGGGATATCTGGTGTGGAGAGGATAGGGAGTCTTTGACCACGGCTTGTAACACATGAGCTCCAAGGCATACTATGCATGCCCTCTTAACTTCCAGAGACGACTTTGTGTTTTGTGATTGAAGTCCCAGATTGGGACAAAAGAAAACAGAAAAGTTCTTCCAACGTGTAGGTCTGTATTGCCTGTACAATGGATACAACTTTAAAAAACTTAGGGGATTTTGGTGGTCTAGTGGGTAAGGAGTTGTAAGCTTATGGTTCAATCCAGCTGCGGGAGAAATACCAGTAACCTCCTGTGAGATTTACAGCCTCTGAAAGTCTGCTGGAGAGTCAGCTCTGACTCGGCTTTGACTGGAAGGTAACGAGTGATCAGAAACTTGCTCTATGAGATTATGAGAATTAACTAGAAAATTCTACACAGAGGAGTCCTGATGGATGGTTCAGTGGTTTAACGCTTGTATGTGAACCTAAAGGGCAGCAGCAGCTCCACCCCACCAGCTGCTTTCTGGGAGACAGGACGTTCTGAATGACTTTCAGCCTTGGGGATCCCGTGGGGCAGTTGCACTCTGTCCTGCATGGTCACTGTAAGTTGGAACTGACTTCCTGATAATGGGTTATGTTTAGAAACCAGCCCTTTGCATACAGCAGATGTTGAGTAAATGTTAGCTTTATTTGCAACTAGGAAAAGGTTCAGGAAGGGACAATGGATTGTCTAGAACAAGAAGGGGGTTGGTGAAAGTGGGAATCCATTCACAGTCTACCACCAGCTTATTGTAATGTGTCTAGTTGAGTATGATTCAGACCCTATCTTGTGCTATGCTTATCTCTGACACACTAGAGCCCATTTCTGAAATCACTTTGTCAGTGCGTCTTGAGGGTCTTCCTCTCCTTTGCTGTCCCTCCCCAGAATTTTGCAAATGTCCTCCAAACCCTTTTATTGTTTCATACCGTATGTTTTGAGGAGATTAAAATTCAGAGAGGTTCAGCAGTAGGTTTGAAGTCACACACATTTAAAGAGATTGTTCCAGGCAATTGCACTGGACTTCTCACCTTGAGAGCCTTGACTGCATGGCTGTTTGGCACCCCTACCTGTTCAGTTCTTTGCTAAGGTGGGGATGTGAAGAACCTGAACTTTGGCCTCTGACCTACCTAGAGCCCAGAAGAACTTGAGCGTATCAGCCCTGTTTTATGGAGATACTGTAGACCATGGTCATGGATGCATATTGAGAGCCAACTACATGTCCAGCCCTGATGAAGAAGGCAGGCATGAGATTATGCCCATTTTACAGATAAGAAAACTTGAGGTGCAAAGAAAGACCGAGATACTCCTGTAGTGTCTGAGATATCTCTATGGGTTCTTTTTCTTGCTTTCTGGCTGCCTAGCCCATAGAGGCTTCAAAGATTGCTTTGGGACTTGGTTTTAAACTGTGGCATCTTGCTGTGGGCCAGGGTCGGGCACTCTCACTCCAGGAGAGGGGCTGAGGCCAGTGAAGTATGTTTGGACACAAGACAGAACCACATTTCATGAACAGAACTTTAGTTTCCAGAGCCAGAGGTCTTAACTCAGGTTCCAAATTGCGACTTCAATTCCTCTGCTGAGTTATCTTTTTTTTCTTCTGACCTTTACCTCCTGTTCTCTGAAATGGGAACATATTTGATAGGGGTGGGCATCTGGTGCTCAGGACGGACAGGCCCTCAGGAACTGTGTTGAGAGCAGCTTTTCTGAAACCACTGATGGAAATCCCGCGTAAGTTTTTGCACCAGGCCCTAGGCAGGCAGAGGAGACCACCCATCAGGCACTACTCTTGTCCTAGACAAACTCCATTTCTTTAGTTCAGGGGTTTTTTTTCATGGCTGATTCACCTTGAGGTACCTGCCTTACTGCCCCAGGTGAGGCAATTCTTAGACTTCTATGTCTCTTGTATCTGGCCTGCATATTGTTCAGACCACTGGAGTTTGGGTTTGTCTCTGAAGTATACGGACCAAGCCTGTGTCTGGTCAATGCTAAGACATAACCAAGGACAAAGTCCAGTCCAACGCCCTGGACCTCAGGTAGGAAATCCAGGAGGAGCTGGGTTTGCTTAGGCTACACCCATGTGGAGAAGACTAGGAGGGGTGTATGCAGATCCAGGCCCCACCCCTGCTGGCTTCCTGATCTGGGGTGAACACCCCCCTCCCACAGCAGTGGTCCCCTTGGGAGGCTTTTGGCTGGATCCTGCTGAGTTGAAGCCAAAGTGTGTGTCAGCCGGGACCCAGCCAGCAATGACTCATGTAGGGTGCTGGCCCAGCCTTGGGAGGTGACCTGGGACAGTGGCCTTGCTTCCCCTCCAGGGCTGGGACTCAGAATCTGTGCCCACTTGATCTAGAGAAGCCTCCTCAGAACTGGGTACATTCCTCAGCCCACTTGTTAATATGTAAATCAGACCAATTTTCTGCCTTGTTGGAGGCCCTCCCTGGCATCCCAGGGAGTTCTCAGTGAAACCCAGACTCCTGCCCCTACTCTCGCCTTCTGCTCTCGTATCTCTGGAGCCCCTCCTAGGTCTGTAATCAGCTCTACCTGCTCTCTTCTGTGAAAGGAACACGGAGGTGGCGAAGTCTAACTTCTACCTACTTCATAAAGGGGAGCTCTCCCCATTAATAATATCCATGTTATGTGCCATCGAGTCACCTGTGACTGATAGTGACCCTGTGTACTCTGAATCCTGCTCTATCCTGAGCCAATCTCATCCGTCTCCTACAGACCTAACCCATTTTCTCCACTCACTGAGTCAATCCATCTGTCCCCACTCTTCCAAGCATGATGTCCTTCCTGGCCATGTGCCCAAAATATGTGAGATGGAGCTTTAAAATCCTTGCCTCCAAGCAAGGAGCACCTTGGTTTCACCCTGGCAGTCCCCGGTATGTTCAACACTCTTCTACAACTCTGCAATTCAAAGGCATTGATCCTTCTATCATGCTTAGTCACTGTCCAGCTCTCTGATGCATAGCAAGTAATTGCAAAGACCTGTATCATAGTACCATACAAGTAGGTACATGGTCACCTATGCCCCCCTACATCCTCCTGCACCTATTTTTACCAATCATTAGGTTCAAGTTCTATGTAAATTGACTCACACTTTACTCATAGTTGTGGGGTTTACTAGGGAGTTAGATTGAGGAAGCAAAGAATATCACCAATATAAATCCAGTTTTAATCCAACAATCCCAGACCAGATTAACAGCAACACACAATTTTAGTAAAAGTCCAGGTTCAGTTCAGCAGCTCAAATAAGAAGCCTCTGGTTTCCTCAATCATGCAGGAACTTTATTTCAGAGCAGTTACAAGTCAGCTTTTCCTTAAATCATCCAGCAAGCAAAACCTTTAACTGTGACTCCATCTCCAAGGTTCCTCCTCTGGTTACACCTTGCCATGGTTTCTTCATAGCAGTGCCACAGCCTCTTCACAGTCCTCCACCACCATCATTTCCCTCCACAGCGTAGAAAGCACTCTTATATTGGTCTCACAGCTGTTAATTATTTGTAAGACCATGCTGCACCCCCCTACCCCCACAGGGCCTAATGCAATGTTTAAAAAAGTAAATTTTTTTCAACAAGATCTGAGCTGATAAGCATGTGCGTGAATTCGGGCCTGCTGCCCAATAAAGACTATGTCCGCAAAAAAAAAAAAAATAAATTTTTTAAGGCTTCTGAACACCCCATCTTTTTTAGGATCTTTACATGGGCTATAGGTTTTGTGTTGAGCTGCTAACTGAAAAAAGGCAGTGGTTTTTGAACCAGCTGCTCTTTGGGAGAAAGGTGAGGAGTCTGCTCCTGTTAAGCTGTACAGTCTTGGAATGTCAGGGAAGGGTCTCTGTGAGCTGGAATAGTCTCATCTGCAGTGGGTTAAACCCTCTAACCTGCAGTGTGCTTCCCCTTTGCCCTTTTTCATTTTGGTTCCTTTTCACACTCCAGGTCCCAGCTCCACTATCCCCTCCATAGGAAGTTGTTGTTATTATGTACTGTTGGATTGGCTTTATAGCTGACTGTCCAGAGTTTTCAGAAGTTTAAATCACACGTCAGGAGATGATCCATCTTGCTCTTGTGAAGCAGCTGGTGGATTCGAACCACATGCCTTCAAGTTGG